ATCACAAACATCATCTCCAACTACACTCCATGCTTTTCTATAAAATCCACTTCCAAATCAATTAGGACCTGGACTTTTGTTTCTGTCTATATGAACATAGCCTTTTTCACGTCAACCTTGGTAAAATCTTCCATCAGGAGTGTCTGCTAATCTACAATCAGTTTAAACCCTGAATGGTAAATTTCACTTTTGGCTTTTGATCTCTCCATTCTGTAACCTAGATGATTGTTATAGTAATTCTTATAGTAATTCATTAGTAAAGGATCTAATTTTATTCCTATTGCTTTTATGTTTAATACAGGTATGAAAATACCTTGTATTGTAATGCTCTTCCTGTATCCATCTTTCTTTCAATTTCTGATTCCAAAAACTGATAGATGCCTTACTCACCTCAATATATTCCTTCGTTACTTATTTTCCCTTTTCTTGCAGATTCACATTCCAAGGATCAGTTCTAAGCTTCTCTTGCACTGTTTCTAGTTTTAATTGCCATTCTTGCACTTTCTGATCAATACATGCATACTCCTGTTCAGCTCCTTGAGTTTTGCTTTCAGTCTCTTTTTTTTCTTGACCACTCTATATTGCATTGTTCCTTTAATTTCAAATTCCCAACCTATGGCTACTACTTTCTTGAAGTTAGGATGACCACACCACATGTTGAAGAACTTCAAAGGCTTTTTGTTTTTGTTTTTGTTTTTTTTTGTTTTGGTAGAAAGAAAGGCTTTTTCCCCTCCTGAACCTCCTCTCCCCATATGATTAACAAGGCACTGTAGTCTTAGATACCTGCTGGCAGAACAGTGGTTAAACCAGCTTCTGGAAAATGGTTAAACCACTCTCCATTCACCATTGTTCTATCCAATCATTATAACACTCTTCCTACTCCCACATGTTTATTAGACCAAGTAAATTGGCCTGCATTACTTGGCATATCCCAAACTTCACACTCCTCCACCCTTAACTTGAACTTCCCCATGTCAGCATTTACCTCATTCTAGCCTCCTAATCTTTCCTCAGCATCCAAGACACAATTGAAGTCGCCCATGATCAGCGAGGCACCTGAGATAGTATTTGCAATCATCTTTATTTCTTCCCATAATTCCAATCTCCCATTCACCAGATAATCTCCATATACTACTGTTATTGTAAACTGCTTACTGCTATTTACTTCGCGCACCTCAGCATGTATATATTGTTGATTTATTCTTTTAACCTTGACTCTGTACTCTCCTTTCCTCCATATCATCATGATTCTTCCTTTTCTTTGCCCCTCAAGGTTACTAACGCCATCCTAATTGCTCCATTTCCTTAACAGTATTTCTTCTACTTCCCCTCCAATTAATTTTGTCTCTAGAAGTCCAGCAAGTCCAACATTATTTATAGTGAGATAGTGGCCTATCTCCCTGTGTTTCAGAGGACCGTTTAGTCCCCTTACATTCCATGAGAGGATGCTATTCATGATGCCTAGTCCCTCCAGGAGGGTTACTAGTATCAGTATAATATAATGTATTGACTGATCTCATTCTTTCAATAATCATGCCTTCTATCACCCTTATACCTTTCCGATTCAATATTTGTATACCACTTTTTCCCTTTTTCTCACTTCAATTGCCAGTCCTTTGCTGTATATTGCCTTTAGTATTGTCAGGTCTCACAGCATTTAATGTTGTTTTAGGGCTTGCCTGGGATTCGGGACTTTCAGTTTCATTTGGAGCTGCAACTTTCTGCTTAATCCTTCGCCCCCGTGTTCTGATTTTGGCCCTCTTTCTGGTGTACCTCACCACCTTTTGGTTTCCACTCCTTTGCAACTGGAACTTTACACACTTGTACACCATGTCCAAATCCTTTGCAGTTACTGCACTGAAGAGGTTGCCATTCATATATCACCTTTTGCTCTACCACTCTACCATTCTCATCCTCAAAAAAAATCTCTTCCAGCAACTTGTTTTTTATCTCAATCTCTACTAATACTGTAGCATACCCTGTTCTCTACTTCTGAGATGTCATTTCATCCATCTTTATGGGTGTGCGTAGAGCACTAGTGATTCTGCTAAGAGTAGTTTCATTTCAATATCTCAGTTTCAATTAACCGTGGCAGTCTTATCCACACAGGCACCTTCTTGATCTCTGCCATGCTAATCTCTTCATCAACTTCCCAATCTTTAATGATGAAAGGTTTGTTATCAAAGTGATGAACATTAACCGTCAACATTTCCTCCTTTGCTTCCATTGTTTTGAATCTGATTACAAATACTCCATTTTCCAACAGCAGAACCTTATTCACTCGCAACCCTACCCAATTCCTGTGGATGTAGCCATTTACTACTGCAAACGCAGGAGTTGCACCCAAGATGTAACAATGATAGAGCTACGCCAGCATTCAATCTCCATTTGAAACTCCTCCTGCGTAATCTTTCACATTTTATGATTATTGACCGTTTCCAGTTCAATATATCGCAATTTCTTCCTTGTTTGAGGCTTCTTAGGGTCAAAATTATCCTAAACATTCTCATCAATCTGTTTTTTATCCTCGATCTTGCCAGATCTACTCAAATTCCTTGTTCCTAAACCCACCCCAGTCTCAATTACTCTCTGATTACACAATGGTTCAAGAATTGAACTAGAATTGAACTGGAATGACAAGACGAGTTAACAGTACTTACAGGCAAAGCTTTGCGACTTTGAATTATGCTTTTCCCCTTGGATGACCTCAATTCCTCCCCTGAATGTTCTTTAGCTTCCTCTGAGACTGATCTACCTTCGGATCTTGATTTCCATGCCCTTGCTAACGCATATGCGCCTGAGAAATCTGAATTCCAATTACACACAGTAACCATGTAATCACCCTCAGTAAGCAGTTATAGAGAGAGCTTTTTTATGTATTTTGAATGTTATTGCACCACCCTCATACCAGACCCCTAACCACCACAAAGAACAAGTTAGGTTCCTTGAAAAATGGAATTCTCATCCCCTCAACCGTGTCTTCCTCGCAAAATTGTGCAAATTGATTAAATTACGGACTTTGCCACAATATGGCGAATGCGTAGTGATGATTAAATTAATGATTATTGGTTGAGATTTATCTCTCTAGCCGAGAAAGATCTATGTCCTTGAATCCGAATTAATCAAAATATTTCTTATTCGAAGTAAAAGAAATATTTGCAATTTGTATGAAGCCATTAGAAATCATACGGTTGCATTTCCTTGTGAATCCCTTGATGAAGGGTAAAGCCCTCATTTGCTTTGGTGTTGATGAACAAAGTTTATTAAGTAGTTAGTGTATAGGGATCAAACATATGGAGGGTTTTTTTTAGATCAAAGAGATGAATGACTAATTTTGAGATTAGAAACTGAAAAACTTAGTCTTTGGCTACTAAATGAAGTTAAAATCGACAAATTATGTGTAAGTTATTACATTGAGAATTGCACAGATTACAACAAATTGCGAAACATATATTCTTTCAGACATTTATTATTATGTAATAGGATGAAATCTTAAAGTTAAACGGAATAATTATGTACTCCCTCCGTCCCGAAATTATTGTTTAGTTTTGATTTTCATTTTCTGTATGAATGATACAAGAAGCGAAACCTCAAACTCAAACAATAATTTCAGGACAGATGGAGTTATTGATTTTAAATAGCATGAATCATGTCATACTGTTTCGGATGTGGTCTATCATGTGGGGATCAATTATCATGTGAACTAATTAATTTGATCCATTTTAATATTTTATGCTGGCCAGCAAATTATTTGTGAGATATAAAATATGTGTCCGTAACTTTTCATGGATTCCGCATCTGGAAAATGAATTAGCTCATTCTTTTGCACAATTTGTCAAAACGGCAATCAAAACTGTATGGAGTGAAGCTCCCAACTTTGTATCTCATTTGGACCGTTTCCAGTAATCTTTTAATGAGCATATATTTTCCATCAAAAAAAAAAAAAATGGTTAGCATGTTTTTATTTACAAATATGCAGTATTGAATTAACTCGTCACAGAAAGAATCAAACAACATTTTACAAAAGTTCTACCTTCGAGCGATGTCGATGACATCAACTCGTCAACTTCATATTCCAGTTAGAATGAGGTAAGAACCATCTCTGCAACTGATTTAAATTAAAGAGGAAAGCATGTTGAGTTGGTGAGATCTACGGAGAAGAGAGCTGTGCATATTTTAAGGAATACGAGATCTTTTGTCTTGGGATTGGTCTATTGAGTTGAAACATACATGTATATGGAGAGGCGAATTTCACTGTAAATCTTTTAGCATCTTATGCCGCTTCTTGTATGTTAGGATTACATTTGTTTGAAAGCCAGCCACTCGGTGTTATTCCGTAGTTTAGGCATGACATTGCATATCATACTTCCGCAATGTAGTTGTATAATACCTTAGGTGGAAACTCTCTAATTCTATTAAAAAATAAAAAAGGAAAGCATGTTTAGTGGAGTACTAAGTAGTAAGTTTTTCCATTAATTGTATGGAAGTTGAGAAGCAAAACTTTTATTTTTTTAAGTATTCTGTGAATTCATAAAGAAAACTATGCTATGTTACACGCAAGATAATCCATGCAGGGTTATTGTTACTAATTATGCACTAAATCCTCCATCGAGAGAGCTCCAATAATTTGAGGGAACACTGGCGCAGGCCTGCGAGGCTGCCTACTACATTTGTTCCTATGTGATTCCAGCATTGTAGGTTTAGCCTAATATATGTCTGCATACATTTGTTTTAGGACAATTGATGAAGAGAATTAAAGGGATGATTTTTGGTTTGATAAAGACTAGGAAGATGGAAATTAATTATTTTATATAATATGTGATCTAATTCATTTCATATATCATAATTGCTTCATGAAACTCATCGTCAAACTCATTTAAGAAATCTGAAAAATCACAATCAGAATTACAATCGCTTGAACATTTCCCAGTACTAATACTTTGCTACCCTCTGGTTGTAGATCTTTGAGGCTTTTGGATTCCTAACAGGTTCTTCAATATTCATCGTTTGAGGAAACTGAAACAGCCAAATGGAGAACGTTCCGCTTTCTTCAATACGTCTTCTAAAGTCTTCACCACCTCTGCCATCTCCGGTCGTGTGGAAGGATCCGTCCAGCAACGTCGCATCAAATCAGCTAGTTTCTTGGGACAATCTTTGCCGATTTGAGGGGTAGAACTCGCAAGGCTGGAACCAAACCTCTTCAAATAGTAAAGTTCCCAAAGGCAGATACCGAAACTAAAGACATCGCACCGATGGTTGTAGGAGTTAGAAACCAAAACCTCCGGAGCTATATAACCCTTGGTTCCAACTTTAACACTCATGTCCTCTGTTTCAATCCTTGAAACCCCAAAGTCTATGATCTTTACTCTCCCTTGACCGTCGAGTAACAAGTTGTCTAGCTTCACGTCTCGATGGGCTATGTTCTTCGAGTGCAAATAATACAATCCTCTCGCAACCTCTAGGGCAAGTTTGATTTTCTCTTTCAAGGCAAGCTTCTTGTGATGCCTGACATATGATGCTAACGTCCCACCTTCCAAGTATTCACTCACAATGACACCACAAAATCCACTGTTCTTCAGGTCCTTAAGTGGTGGATTTACATCTTCTTTCGCGGTGATGAACTTAGCAATGTTTGGGTGGTCAAGAAGAGAACAGGTTGACACTTCTCGTAGGAAAGACAACTCCGCCGTTTCCACTCCATCAATGTCTTCTTCGCCGGCGCAGATTACTTTTATTGCAACCTTTTTCCCACCATATTGGCATAAAAACACAATACCATAAGCACCGCCTGCAATTCGTTTCCCCCACTCCACTTTCCCCCAGTTGAAATCCTTCGTTTCTTCTTGATTCTCTTCCATGTTGATGAACGCTATCAAAAGAAGTAGAAATTTTCTGATTTTCTTCTATTCCTTTAGTTTTTCCTTGTAGGGTTAACTCATATTTATATACGTGATTCCTTCTCCCACTTTGATTAGATTTCAATTCAGCCGACTCCCCTTACGCGGATTGTGAAGCACCTTCCAACGTCGATAAAGATAATTTGTTGTTCTTGTCAAATATTCAATTAAACTTCTCACGGCTTATGAAAATTATGAACACTATATATATCCGTATTTTCTTAATCTACTTCGGAGTACATAATATTACCCTATTTAAGCCCATAACTTGTACTAAAAATAAAAATCCAATCAGGATAATCTTTTAGAATGGCAGAGCACATCGTTTTATAGTAGATTTACAAAAACAACTAACTAGATGATACTCCCTCCGTCCCATAATTATTGTCTAGTTTTACTAAAATGAAAAATTTTATTGTTGGTCAAACTTAACTATATTTTACCTTAAACAACCGGATATACCCCTACATAAGTAATTGTTTAACCATTAAGGTTTTATGGATAATGTTTTTTACTAAGGACAAATATGTAACTTGATCCATAAAAAGTTAAATTGGACAATAATTTTGGGACAAAATTTTTTAGGCAAAGTGGACAATAATTATGGGACGGAGGGAGTATTTGATATAGATTTGAAAATCAGCCAAAAGGATGATATGATTCGTAACATTATACTATGTCCGTTTTTTTATCTTTCACTTTATGGTTTGCATAACTATTAAGGAAACAATAATTGAGGATTTAATTTTTAGGTGTATTGTGTTTATTGCCTCTAAAAATATAGGAACTCTACACAAATTAAGAAGCAAAAGAATATATAGTTATCCAACTGTGTATAACTAATTATCCATATTGCCAACACTGGTTATCCACATTGTGAACACTGGTTGTCCATAGTGTGTAACTGGTTATCCATAGTGTGCATACTGGTTATCCAGCTATGTTTAACTAGTTATCCATAGTGTGCACACTGGTTATCCAGCCATGTTTAACTAGTTATCTATAGTGTGCACACTGATTATCCACAAAAGGTTAAAAAAATTGAATTATCTAGCGAGCTCACACTATTCTAAGAGATCACTACAAAAAAATAGGCTTTGGTGACAAACATATTCTGGTCTCTAAAATAGCAGTTGGTGACCAAGTCTAGTCACCAAAGGTCTTTGGTGACCAAACGGTGACCAACCATATTTTGGCCGACTAAGCCTCGTCGCTAAAGGCCTTAGGTGACCAACTCCTGAGAGTGAATGACCATGGGCATAATTGGTCACCGATGTTGTTGGTCACCAAAGTATTGATTGGGCAGCCCCGGTCAGCAATTTTTGGTGACCAAAAAATTGAGGAAATGATTGGTCATAAGTTTTGAATTTTTGTGACCAATAGTGTGTGATAAGATGCTTGGTAACAAACTTTTATTTTTTTAAAAAAAATAATAATAATTTGTGACCAAGTAGGTGACGTAATATGCCTGGTCACAAGTTTTGAATATGGTGACCAACAAATAATAAATAATAATTTATTTTTTAAATAATTTATGAAATAATTAAAATAATTGGTGACCAGGGAGTTGGTCAATAAATAATAATAATTTATGACCAAGCAAGTGACGTAAAGTTGTGGTCACATTTTCAAATATGGTGACCAAGAATGACATCACCATAATATTTAATTAGAAAATAGAATTGGTCACAAAATTTAGCCTATGATATACAGTAAACAACTTCACTCTTCCCAAAATAATCCAACATTGTACTTCAATATAATATACTATGGAAAAGATATTCAATTCATTACAAGCACAAAATACATTGCTCCAATTCTCGAGTCTTAGTATCAACTACAATACTAACTAAGTCCAAGACACGTATCGTCGTATCCAGACACATGAATTGATAAATAAGGAGCTTATAATATCAAAACAAAAGTAATTATACCGAGTGAGATGCACCCTAACTTGTTTTTGGAATCCCAAACTAGACGAGGCATCTTTGTGTTCCTGAAAGATCATAAGTTATAAAAAGTTATCACCATGGCAACAAATCACAAATCGCACCCATTATATGTGGCAGCTAACTACCTAAAAGATAGAAAATAAAGAAAGGTGGCAAGAAAAGTTGTATAGAAAAGTGTACTTATTTTCTATTTAATAGAAGGCATTCTTACAACTAGAGTATTAGAAAAAATACAGCATTCAACAATGGAAAAGCTAAAACATTCAACAATGGAAAAAGCTTAGAAAAAAAAAAGGAAGCAGAAAAGGATAAACAGAGCACCTGGTAAATCGAGAGTTCATCAGCGTCAACATCAACACCATTATATTCTCAGCAAGTAAGATGACCTGCTATGTAAATAATCCCATTTGAGGCATCAAAACATGATTTCATGGCTATACTTTAAAATAGGAGAATGAGTAGTACATGCTTTATAAAGTAGAACACAATAACTACGGATCATATTGAGATAACAAAACCATTAAGTTTAAGATATAGGTAAACTCTAACTTCCACCATACTCATGTCCCTAACTCCTAAGACTTTGAACTAGGTACTAACAAAATGTCATTAGTCTTGTCAGCTGAAAATACCATCTTTGAAATTCAGAAATGCTAACGTGTAATTTTATGTTTAAAGAATTGGAGTCCAGGAATCTAGTAGGAAAAGAGTTATCAAGGTGGGAAAAATTTCAAATCAGTCAGTCCCTCAAGTCTGAAAATTCAGAAAAAAAAAAATTCTTTAATTCATATAATAATTGCTTTACTATCAAATGGGCCTGAAAATACTTACCACGATTGTCGATTAGACCTTTAATAGAAGTTATCTGACCGCAATCGAGTAGGAAACTCAATCAAAATCAATTAAAGCAAAAAAATCCACTGCCGAAGCTTCCTTTGATCGCTGCCCACCGGTGATACTTCTTAAATCGAGTAGAAGAAGGGGTAGATGGTATTAACTTCTTTGGATTAGAAGAAGGGATAGCTAGGATTGTAGTTCTTTAGATTACAAGAAAGATTCTCACAAGTATTCTCAAGTAGAAACCCTCCTACCGTCTCTCGCCATTTTTTTTTTGTTTTATCGTTTTTTCCCCTTCATCAATTATGTCCATGGCTTTATATATTTCTTTGGTGTCTAAAAGTTTTTATTTGCTTCAATTTAATTAAAATTTATTTTTTTAATTTTCTTTTGCAATTAGCTTTTTCTTATCCAATTCAGCAATTTATTGTTATTATTGTTTATATGATGGACAGTTATGTTAGAAGCAATTGCTTTCCTCAGTTCCTGGTTTAATTTCATATATATGGCCATACTTTCACAAAGGAAAAATTAAGAAAAATTATTATTTTGTTAACACTAAGCCAAGTTCTTTTAATAAAAGAAATATTCTTTGCACTAAGTAATATATGTATACAGTTCCAAATTCGAGTTGTTACATAACCAATCCAAGTCAATTTGGTTTAGTTAAATATACTTACCAACTAGATTGATTCTAACATACTTTTCTTTTGTTAAGCGCACTGTTTTTTTTTTGTTCGAAAAAAAAACTTCTGGCAAAAGTCATACTACAATTACTATAAAATATTACATAATAAAATGTGTTACAAATTAAATTTCACCTATAAAAAGCACAATGTGTTAAAGGCCTAAAGAATATAGAGACACGATTATCAAATTGTGCTTTCATAAAGTCAATGCAACAATAACTACTTTTAGGAGTACAAATAAAGTGATTATATTTTCAGTTGTTACCTCCAGTAAAATACACTTTTTTTCTTGAAATTTATGAAATCTATTATTATTTAAAAAAATTAAAAAGAGCGAGAATGGTTTTTTTCTATTACAAAAATTTTGTGATCAGCCCATAATTGGTCACCACACTTGGGCGGGAAATCTTCCCACTGAATGATTGGGGTCATTCCAAGATTTGGGGAAAAAAAAATGGCGGTCAATTTTCTCACCATAACTTGGTGACTCAAACAGTTGGTCACCAACAGTATAAAGTTCTTGTGACCAACAACAGTGGTTACAAAATTTAGGGGGGATTTTTCCCCGCCAACTGCTCTCTGACCAACTAATATTTTGGGCAGAATTGTTTTGGCGGGTTTACTTTCCGCCACTCCGTAGTGACCAATTATGTCTTTGCTACAGTGCTTTCAGGCTGATTTGGTCACCAAATCTGGTCACCATTCTTGTCAACTAGTCAAACCAATGATTTAGTGACGAAATTGGTTACCACTTACTTGGTATGGTCACGAAACTTTTCTGATGACCAAAAAAATTCGACCATCTACTAAAGTTGGTCACCAAAAGGTTAATTTGGTGACCAATATTTTATTTGTCAAAAAATAATTGGTCACCAAAGCTTTATTTTTTTGTAGTAGAGTAAAGTACACGCGCAGGAAGTACACGGTGCCCCAGATGTACTAGATGCCTAAAATTACTCAAACCCGAATAGCCATAAATAGATCAGAAGTCCTATACGATTAAAATTCCTAGTGTACACAGAAATCAACAAGAAATCTCGAGGAAAACAATTTCTTAATTGAACAACTACCAAAATTTAAAAATCCCAAATAAATACATGCATATAGACTAATGAACTGAAAAGAAGATCTTTTAAACATTCAAGAAAATTTACTATAAATAATTAAGGCCTAACATGCGTCCTTCCTCAAACCCAATTCTAAAAATCATCCTCATCACTTCATCATTTGTAGACATGCTATCAAGCAGTAACCAAATAACACTTCGAAGTTCGAACGCACAATGGTCAAAATTTTTCAAAAAATCTCTTCACTCATGACCTTCATAATAATAATTACTTGAATTTTTTTATCCTAATTATTTGTTCCACCCCCACCTCACGCCACACCCCCCTGTAGATCTACTGCGCGAGAGGAACAAGCACTTAAGCAGAATTTTTAGTTTAATAAGGCAATTTCTCGGAGAATCAATAAACTTAACGCCAAAACAAAGCGTCTCAATCATAGTTTGCAAACTCGTGATACTGGATCGTATGATCGTTCGATTCTACGATTCCAGATACCTAAATTGATCCTCGATCGATCAAACTCGAATATTGCAGTAGGATCGGAGTGGGATCGGCCAGAATCAATTAGGATCGTACAGGATCGGTCAGGATCGGTTTGAGTTTACTATTCATTAATTACAAAAAATTAATTGAACTTACTGAGATTTTTCTTTTTTCTTATTTCTTTTGGTCTACATTCAATTGAGGTTAATATTCATTAAGGAAACTTTAATTGCTAAGAAAAATGTATTTTAAAAAGTTTTTCTAATAAAATAAAAAGAATAACTATAAGAGAAGAGTTTTTATTAAAACGTTATAAAAAAATTCACATACGAAAAATTGAATTTACATAATTTTTTTTGTTTAAATGTTAAATACTTTATTTAAAGATAATTGAAACCTAATTATTAAAGCAATTAATTATATAACATGTACAATTAATTTTACGATCTTATTATTCCGATCCTACTGATCCCGCTTATGATCCGATCCTATGATCCTATTTCGATCCTACGTAAGATCGCGATCCTGTGAACATTGGTCTCAATCGATTATTCCCTAACAGAGCACTTAAACTCATAAATTTGTTACTGCTTCCTTAAAAAAAACAAACAAACAAAATCAAAAACATATTCCACTTCATTTAATAAAAGAGAATAACAAGCCTTTATTATGATCCGCTTCAAGTACGTCATGAAGAGGGGCATGCCAAACAGCAACAGCAACAACAACCAAAGAGGAAAAGACATTAGCACACACCAAAAAAAAAAAAAAAAACAACAACAACAACAACACAAACACAAACAATTTCGAGCCAAATCGATCGGAATGACTCGAAAACAGAATATCCCAAAACATTGATTGGGTGGTGTTGTCTTCATTCTTTATTCGCTTTCAGCTGCAGCAACAGCAGAAGCAGCAGCATCCGGGGGTAATTCATTTAATTCACAATTGTGATTGACACATGAGCAGTGATCGAACGCCTTGCTGTAGGAGCATCCGAACAGATAGCAAGTCTCATGGCAGAAACGACCTGAAAGTCTAGCCGTCAACTCTTTCTTGAATATGATGGCAAATTCTAAAGGAGTCAAGTCGACTTGATCAGTTGGTGGATCCAGCACCTTCCTACTTGCCCAGAACAAGTCGGTTTGGCCGCCAGCTTCACCAGCGTCGGCGGACTCAACTTCCATGACCCCGACAACTGAAAAAATGTTAGAATCATCAAGAAGAAGAAAACAAAAAATCGGTTAATTAATTAGGAGTAATAAACTATAATGTAATTGTGAGATGAATTGGAAATGGGGCTTACAGGATACAAGAACCAAGAATAGGATGATATATTTGGTGAAATTAGCCATCACTGGATTTCTTCTTCTTCTTAAGAGATAATGAAAAAAAAAAAACAAAAAAAAGCAGTTGTAAATTACTAAAGAACAATCCTAAAACTAAAGCTCTGTGTAATTGCTTTGTAGTCTTTTCTTTCTAGGGTTCGGTATTTGTAGAGTTGATTGATCGAACTCTTGCCGGAAAAACTAATAAAAAACATTGCCATGCTACCAATTATTGCATTATTATTCTGATTCCTAGTACCACAGTTGGTGAAATCTCACTTTCTGAGTACGTAACACAAATTGATATTCGCTGGCCACCCCGTTTTTCAAACATTTTTGGATAACCCTAATTCGACAAATTTGTTTTCACATATATAATTTGGCAGGCCCGCATATAATATTTAAAATAAAATGGAACAAATGACAAATCAATGGTATTGTTCACATAATATTTTTTCTTCAACATTTAATTAGAAACCAATGGATTAGTTGATCCTACACAAAATTTTCGGAATATTGAAAAAGTAAATAAGGTAAAATAAAAAAAAATGGGGAACTTTGGTTCAATTTTTTTTAAAAAAATAATAATAATAAACAAGCGGGACAAAATTTATAAATAATAGAGTATTTGAAATATAGTTAAAAAAAATCCGATTATCCTGAAAAGAAAGTGAGATTAAAAATTATTAAATTATTTCCTTTTCAAAGAGTAAGAAAAACAAAAAGAAATTCTGCTAGGAGGCTGGAGAAATATGTTACAATAAATAAAATAGTTAAAACATCTTAGATTATAACCGTCCGTAAGAAAAGGTTTGATAACTTTTTGTTATTCCACATTTCCCTTCAATTTAAATTTGTTGCAGAAGTGTTTCCTACCCCATTCAAATTGGTTACCAAGTTAATGAATCACCATTGCTCGTCAATAAAACTAATTATGTAAAAAGTTATATTGTTTGATTCGTACTTAATTTGACGACTTAATTTACTACAGATTTTTGTTAAAGGAATTGCGCTAATCAATTTATTTTGTTTGTTGAATCTGTCTATGAAAATCTGTTCTTTGAGCTACCAACAAATATGAATCAGAAACTTACTCTGACTATATAACAAATTACGGCATTATGTACAACTTCTTATGCACAATGTTCTCTAGTACTTAATTAAAAGACCAATCTATCCTATCTACAATATTTACAGAAACAAATAGAAAGTCACTTAATCCCAAGACCTTTCTTAATGATTTGATCATCAATTAATGTCCGTTTTTTCCCAAAGGCTATTCATCTTTCCATCAGTTCATCAGCTCGGATAGGTTCCATCAATTCATCATAGAAAAATAAGGTTTGTACTACTGTTTTATTTTGATAAATTAAGAACACCGAAAATGTGTTCACCTTGGTTGAGCGTGAATCATATGTATGTTGGATATGGTCAATCTTTGGAAGATGACAAGAATTTAATATAACCTGTGAGTTGCAAGTATAAAAAAAATGACATGAGCTACGATTTGAGATACGAACTTATTTTTTTATAAATGATACTCCCTCCGATCCTTATTACAAGACATTTTGAGTTATTTTGATTCCGTCCTAGATTTCATTTAGTAGGTTTTTTTAATTGAGATAAAAATATTAAAAACATTTCATAATAAATTAGGAAAACACAACGAATGTGAAATATATTTTTAAGATTTTTTTTCAATTAAAAAAGACATCCCAGATTAAATCTAGTACGAAATCAAAATGCCTTGTAATAAGGATCGGAGGGAGTATATGTTACATTCGTCCATTAAATTAGTATAGGAAAGCGATGGATTGCCGATATAAGACGAACGAATATATTCCCATTGAAAAACTAATGAACCTCGTACGCAACCTCGTACTAATCTCAGACATTGAATTGCACAGACCGCGAATACCTTCGGGTATTATTATATAAAGACCATGAAGATCTTTAAAAAAGCATTATTAGCTCCATTATTAATGACAGAACATCACAACAGATCAGAGTTGATCGATGCATTTACAACCTTATCGTACCAGGTTCATTAGTTTTTCAATGGGAATATATTCCTTCGTCTTATATCGGCAATCCATCGCTTTCCTATACTAATTTAATGGACGAATGTAACATATACTCCCTCCTCCGGTCTTTATTATAAGGTATTTTGATTTCGTCATATATTTAATCTGTGATGCCTTTTTTAATTGAAAAAAAAAACCTTAAAAATATATTTTCACATTCGTTGTGTTTTTTTAATTTATTATGAAATGTTTTAAAGATTTTTATCCCAATTAAAAAAACATTCTAAATGAAATTTAGGACGGAATCAAAATGACTCAAAATGTCTTGTAATAAGGATCGGAGGGAGTATTATTTATAAAAAAAATAAGTTCGTATCTCAAATCGTATCTCATGTCATTTTTTTTTTATATTTGCACCTCACAGGTTATACTAAATTCATGTCATCTTCCAACGATTGACCATATCCAACATACACATGATTTTCGCTCAACCAAGTTGAACACATTTTCGGTGTTCTTAATTTATCAAAATAAAACAGTAGTACAAACCTTATTTTTCTATGATGAATTGATGGAACCTATCCGAGCTGATGAATTGATGGAAGATGAATAGCCTTTGGGAAAAAACGGACATTAATTGATGATCAAATCATTAAGAAAGGTCTTGGGATTACATGACTTTCTATTTGTTTCTGTAAATATTGTAGATAAGATAGATTAGTCTTTTAATTAAGTAGAGAACATTGTGCATAAGAAGTTGTACATAATGCCGTAATTTGTTATATAGTCAGAGTAAGTTTCTGATTCATATTTGTTGGTAGCTCAAAGAACAGATTTTCATAGACAGATTCAACAAACAAAATAAATTGATTAGCGTAATTCCTTTAACAAAAATCTGTAGTAAATTAACTCGTCAAATTAAGTAAGAATCAAACAGTATAACTTTTTACAGAATTAGTTTTATTGGCGAGCAATGTTGATTCACTAACTTTCGTAACCAAATTTGAATGAGATAGGAAACACTTCCGCAACAGATTAAAATTAAAGGGAAGAGAGGAATAACAAAAAATTATCAATTCTTTTCTCACGGACAGTTATAATAAAAGGCGTTCTATCTTTTTTATTGTACCCAAAACGAAAAAAAAAAAACGAATTTAAATATGCAAAAAAGAATAATACTAACGCAAATGTTTTCATCTGGAGGAATGAAAACAACCTGAAGCTCGTAAAAAACAGATTCAAAATAAAAAAATTCCGAAAAATAACCTACATTGAATATTGTGATCTGCACTAGACGAGTCTTGAAATTTGTACTAAAATTAGTAGTCGATGTAGACTTTTTTTTTTGGGACAACGTGAAAAACCTCACGGAGTAACTAACACGATCAAACTTCAGAGTTCAGAGCATTCAGTTTGAAATCCGGAGAAATTCAGAGGATTGATATATAAGGAATCATCAGTTGCATTAAAGAGATGAGCAGAAGCAGCTACTTTACAAATGAGAATGCTAATCCAAGCAAAGATGATTGATACATATATACTATCACACACGAGAATCCATGCAGTTAAATTTTACTAATTATGCACTATATGCTCCATCGAGAGAGGTCCAAGGATTCGAAGGAACACTGGTGCAGGCCTGCGAGGCTGCCTCCGTCATTTGTTCCTTCGTGATTCCAGCATTGCAGATATTAGCAATGGTCCGAGTATGTTTCATTCCATACCGTGACAACGAGTCACAATGCGTCTCAAATGTTCTGACCTGCAGAGACGAGAAATTCCTTTGATGAGCAAATATTTTAAGGAGACATCGCACTGATTCAACATTATCAAGCGTATAGAAGTATCAAGGTAGTTTAACGCTGATGCTGATCAAAGTTTAGGAATTAAAAGCTAAAGGCTAAGAGAAGCCAAAGGTTTACCAAAGATTTGAGGCAGGCCCAATCATCAGCAAGAGGCTGACCAGCTGGCCTGACAGCATTAAGAATTTCAGGGCCTTTCTCAACACCAAATAGAAGGTTTCCAATTAATTTCATACTGCTGTCAATGTGCATTCGATGGGACATCGCTTCAAAGACCTGTTTCTGAGCTTCTTCTTTCCTCGCAGAACCTTCAGGAGCTTTACGGAAGTACAAGTATTGAGAAAGCAGCATAAGGTAAATTTTCAATGGGCAAACACAAACACATAGATTGCAGGGCTGTACACAGTGCTTACTAAACAAAAACCAACTAAAGAATGTACAATTTTCAAAGACACGTGTAATTACTTCCAACAGCTCAAGGCCTTTTTTGTTTTTCACTTCCACACGGTAATGTACCCTATGTGACAAGCTTTGACACAATTTGGAACATGAAGAGTAAAGCCCGTCAGACTATGGGACCTGGCCATGACCAAAGAATTTAAAACCAAAAAGTGCTCTAAATGAGCCAGTACCTTGTCCCAGAAATGCACTAAATCAGCATCACGCTGGTAAACAGCTTTTGAAGATGGATGAAGAACATTGTCATCCACAAAAGTGTAATTATCATTCGCTGGGTTAGTACCCATATAGAGGAAAAGATCTTCCACACTCAGCTTCAAATCACCATATTGCATGACGTGGGAGGCAATTGAGAGTCGCTTTTTAACCTCCATTCCCATCAGAATCAAATTACAAAGAAGTTATTGAAAAAGAAGTGATGTTTGAAAGGAATACACCATCCTAATTCAAAGCTGAACTCAATAATATACAACAATGCTATTCTAATATACATTCCCATGGGTGAAAAGCACCTTATAAACATAGTTCCTTTCTTTCTCTTTAGTCGACATGGTCTTACCTGGTTGTATTGCTGCTCCAAAGTTTCAGAGTGCAAATTGTGTACCTCACTGTTGATGTGTACAAAAAAACAATTATAAGCAGAATTAAGAGATAAAAGAATGGAGACTATATTCCACTTTAAGTCTGGGAGAACAAGAAATGTAACAACAAAATATCGATGTTGTAACTGTGGGGCAAGTAAACATGCATGACTTTGGAACACCTCTGGTCGGTTATTTCTCATTTATCTAACCTCGACTTTTTATCAATCATCTAACCATAATTACCAAGAACCTGTAATCATTATTACTGAGGTTGTCTACTAAATCCAAGTGGATTTCAACACATCTTCCAGTGAGCCAGTTGAATTATTTATAATTGGCTGGTTAGCAGCTAATACGTAACATCATCGAGAAACAAATGCCCATTCATTCCCCTTACAAAAAGATAAAGCATATGATACCTGTCTTCCATCCAAGCAACACTATAAAAGTCACCCAAGCAAATCTCATACTCTGGGGAAATGCTAGGATACCCCCCAGGACAATAGGTACACCAACTGCCTTCCTCTGCGTTTGAGGCTGTGGTTGTATAGATATTGAGACCTTCAGGAAGTAGTCCCTCAAACATGCTACCTGCCTCACAAGCTTCAAGGTAAAACACCTGAACATTGACAACAAGTCATGAATATAGATATCACTTTAAATTGTTTCCACAGTGGCAGTCCAAGATGCTCAAAATGAAAGGAAAGATGAACTGTACCAAGCTCTTATATGTCCCAGAAGCATGCTTCATCTTCAAAGCATCATTCAGCTCATCCGCGTAGAGGTAAGGACGCGTTGGCATCCCTGATAGATTATCAAATAAAATCTCCGGAGCATTAGCAAATGCAAAAATACCTTGTTCTGTTTAATACAAAAACAGCATTGCATCTTGACAATTTTCATGATCACAAGGAATCCAGTCTGTAAGACATCTTGCAGGAAACCATCTGAATTAGGTAAATCTCCTTAAGAAATATTGTTCGTAAGTTTAGCAGGATGATTAGGAAGAGGTTCAATTCTGAATGAAACATACAAAATGTCACCTATCGGAAGTCACTAATCAAAAGTCGCATTGCCTTTTAACAAAGAACTCAGAGAGAACCCTTGAGCGGAGACATGAAAATACACCTATGGAAGAGCCTAAGAAAGTTTTAAGTTATATGATATCAAAACGCACTGACCAATCACCCCAGGACCACCGTGATCTGTGTAGAAGATGAAGATGTGATCATTTGGACCATTGTCAACCACCTTGCCGCTGCCCCCTGTAATAGCTGACTTGTTGCCAAGAATAGCAGCCAAAAAGTTTTTAGCATTAACCTCATTCCCTGTATAATCCTGCATCAAAACCATGCCTCAAATAAGAAGTATGTCGAAGGAAAACTATTACCATCCAATAAGAAACACCACTTCACGGAGGGAGCAAACCTTTGGGACTCCTGCATAAACATTGCTCCCGTGTGGGCTGTTGATGATAACTCCAGGCCTAGGGTTCTCTTCATTGTAGGCAATGTCATCATACATGAACACCACAATGTTTTCATCTTTCAGACCTCCTCTTTTCAGTATTTGATATGCATGACACACATCCGCCTGTGACATTACAGATTGTCCTAATACAAACCCATTAAAATCCACAAAAAAGAAAGAAAAAGGAAATGAGCACGAATACACGTTTTCCAACAAGACATTCTCCATTTAAGTTATGAACAAGAGTGTAGAAATTTGCTCAAAAACTTTTTTGAAACAAAAATAAAAGATAATTGCTAAAACAGACATTAATTTCTTTCAAAAATAGTTTTATAAACAATTATGTGTCTCAACTATCTCTTTGAGATAAATTAACCTCGATTAGAACAGAAGAAAGAGCAAATCATTCACATAAGGCAACAGAAAATCCAATGTTTGTCCATCATATGACCCGGGCCGTACTTGAAGCAATCCTTTTTGTTTTATGAGGTACATAGAGTCAAAATTTTCGAATAACAAATGACATTTTCACTAAAAATTAAAGAAGAGAAATACAAAATTTGAGAATCTACACACTTTCGTCAGAGACCATCAAGAAGGAGAAATGAGCTACAAAAGACAAATACTTCTATATATGCAATAATCAGCTTCCAATCCCCACATGATAAACAAAAGTTCATTCCTTCTTTTCTCTTAGTTTGAAGTAAAAGAAATAATTACTGATAATTAGAGAATCCAAACTGCAGAAGGACCATACAAGAAGTTCAAAGACCATGACTAATTTGGGAGAAAGAAAGAAAGAAGTTATTCAACACACAGACAGGGGAAGGTGAGCCGGCGACTTCATAATCTCGCCGGATTATTATAAAACTGATTACTCAAAAAATTCGCGAGAATAAACTTGGGTGGGGACGGTCACCTGATGCCGATAATTCCAATAATCCTTCGATCCGGCGATCAGGACAGCCCATCTCGTTCCGACAGAGTCATCGCCGCCGCTCGCCTCACTAGGACGGAGAAATTCGGAAAATTCCGACGGTAACTTAAGGTAGCCGTCAGATGCTCCTGAAGATACGGCAAAGACTGAAAGTCCAAAGAGTAGTAGGACTACTCCGGCGGGATATCGGAACATTATTTACTGTCGCCGTCGCCGGCAGACCGAGTTGTGGTTCAATAGATTGCAGAATATCAAACTCCAACAGAAGTGTATGTTTTCTCACTCTCTGCTCTCTCTCAAGGAAATGTTTGCTGAGAAATGATGATTGTAAATAACTTTAAAACCTGTGAAGAAGTTTTGCAGACTCTCCCAGCATTCATGAAGTGTAATGTTCATCCATCTCAGTTTCAGAATCAATTTAAGTAATTGAACTGTTGAAATGAAAGGGAAAAAATAATTTCAATAATATGCGTCACCATCTCATCTTCTGTTGCAACACTCAACTATGATTTCAATATTTAATTAAACTGCTGGAACCTACAATATCTAAAGATGGAGAAAATTTACCCCAAAAGAGAAGATATTAAGATGGAGGAAATTGGGAGATAATTTGCATGCACATTTTTTACAAGTCATCTTCTTCGTTTGGCCACCCGTTAAATCCTGTTAATTTAAGTTAGTTGTGTTTACCTACCAAAATACTACTTGTTAGTATATGTGAGAGTGTAGGAGTATTAGTGGTTATTACCTATGTATTCAAAACCGGACCGGACCGGGCGGTGGAATCGGTTAGCCCGGGAACCGGAGGCCTTACCGGTCCGATTTCTAGAAAGAACCAGATTCTTAAAAACCCGGTCAAACCCGGTCAAATCAGAAATCGGTACCGGTTAAACCAGATTTTCATAAATATTTTTTAAAAAATTAATTTTTAATATTTTTTAATATTATTTTTAATCGGTTTTTACCGGTTTTGAAGAACGAGTTAATTGGTCAACTCGGTTAGCCCACTAACCCGATCATGTTAGCGGTTCACCATCCGGTCCGATTTTGAAAACATAGGTTATTACGGACAATAGACACTATACTTGAAATAAACAGGTAAGAAAAAGAAATTCTTTGTTATTATTATTCTCTATCTCAAAAAAAAAAAAACACTACAAATCACAAAATATAATGTGAATTTTTTTTAGCATGCAAAGTTATTTTATTATCGCCAACAACTCAAAAGTCAACTAAGAAATCAATCATGTTAAAATGGAGTCAACGTGGGGCTAATATAATTTGTGACATGTTATCAGTAGTTATGTTTTCAAAACTGGACGGGCCCAGGCAGTCGAACCAGTTAGCTCGGGAACCGGAAGCCTCATCGGTCTGGTTTCTAAAAAAAACCGGATTTTGTAATATCTTGTCAACCTCGGTCAAATCCGGACAAAATCACGGTTCGACAGGAAACCGGTTACATATATTTTTTTTAAAAAAATACTTTTTTCTATAAAATAAATATAAACTAGGAAGAACAAATATGAGAGAGAGAAAGAGAATTCAGGTGCATCTTATTCAATAGAGACTGGCCTCTATTTATAGGCAAGTAGATACAGAGATAAGACCAACGAATATGAGTTCTAACGATATATTATCTCTATAAATAGATTCCTAATATAACTCTTCTGTCTTATGGACATTCACATAATTAATATATTTATAATACTCCCCCTTGGATGTCCATTTCTTAGGATAATGCCTCGTTAAAGCCTTTACTAGAAAAACCTCAGTGGGATAAAAATCTAATAAAGGAAAAAGAGTATATTTCTAGAGATAATGCTGCTTCATTAAAAACCTTATCAGGTGTTTGAGTCAAAATTGTATTTGAAAGTGAAGACCGACTCGGCTCAAACTAATTTCAAACGATTGTGTGATATTCTCGAAATCCGGAGTCCAACCGTTCAAATTGTCTAGAGATGCCAACGCCTCCGACTCACAACGACATTGAATGTTCAAGTATTTGATGACGAAATAACGAATAATTTCGAGGAAATGAATAAACGGCCCCTCAAGGCCAGCTCTATTGATTTGATGGAAATGAATCGGCTATGAATAGCCAAAAATGTCAAAAGATCTACAAAATCAATACTGAATTGTAAATGAATACATGAAAGCTTAAAGAAGATAAATATTGAAAAGCTATAAAGAAAGACTAGAGAATATGATTTGTTGTATGATGAATTTTGTGTGTCCCTATCTTCTCTCTTTACAGCGTTTATAGATAGCTCGCCAACCCTAATCGAAATGCAGCAGAATTCGAATATGATAAGAACTTGTGTTGCGTTTGGAATCCTTCTCCGACAAGGACTGCATTGTCGACGACTCCTTCTCCGATTCAACTTGTCAACCGCCGTTCCTTCTCCAACTTTCTTGCGGGCTTGATAACTCTTTCTCTCCCTTTGTTATTGCTGTGATCAGCCCAATTCATGTGGACTAGATTTGTTAAAATCAGTCCAATATCAGAAAAATCCATTCGGACAAAACTTCGATCAAGGGAAAAAGAGTACAGCGTGGGGCTACTCCTCATGTTGAGTACGTCACTTGTAATCTTCTTGCCACATGTCAATATGTTGACCAGTTTTACCATTGTTGAAGTCAATAATGGACGGATCACTTCGATTTCTCTGCAGACGATTATCTTCATATACTGGTGTAATCTTGAGTGCTTTATAACAACAGAGATCTATAACAAGCATACAAGAAGGTATTTATATATACAATCCTCTAATGCCTTGGGTAATAAACCGATACTAATAAGTATTACAATATGGTACTTCAGGACCAAATAGGTTTATATTTTATTATACGGCTATAAAAAGGATTTTATGCACATCAGACCATAGTCTAGTGCGCTCAATGTGGTTAAATATATATATACTCAGGCCGAACTAGTATGAACGAGATTCTACCTAAAGTCTTTCATTATTCTTGCTTCAGGCAAGTAGCAACATTTTCAACTTAAATATCTTTTTATCTTCTTTTTTGAAGTCTTAATAACCATAATAAACTCTTCAGGAGTTTTAACGATATTAAGGCTATTCAAACTCTATAATGAAATTCATTAATATTTAGCCTTTTCAAACTCTTTTAAAATTTCAGTGCTAATCAAATATCAAAGACACATATAATTTACAAAAAATTCATATCAATATCTCATAATAACGTGATCAGAAAACACATAGAAAACACAAATAATCACCTTACAGATAAATGTAACGTATTCGAATAAGAATATAAAGTCAAGTGAATACACGGTAATGACCAAAATGTTCAAAAAATATGCACCTGAATATTTGTCTAGACACATGAAGATACTATAACTTGCACAAGTCTTTCATATTAATTTCTCGAGAATCGGAACCATGTCTCTTATTGAATCCTTCAGGGATTTCATATAAACGCCATTTTGGCAAATATCAAGTATTGTTTCAAGTGATCACTATATTCACTAGACGCATTTTATTTCTTCATTTGCTGCCAGATTTAGCAAATAACGGAAGAATAAATATTTTTCACCCACCACAAGAGAATTTATCTCTTTATTATTAACATCCGGACTTTGGGAATACTTGTACAATAAGTCGGTTGCTCATTAATTGTTTCCACAATCACCCAAAAATGTTTAGCCAATGTATTACTTTTCAAAACACTTATTGCTTCAAGCAATTCCAAAGTGTGTATACAACGCACATCATTAGGTGTATATTGCGTCTTTTCATGTATTATAGCCAATAAGTTTAATATGTGTATCCACAATAGACTTTCACTTCACGAGCCTCATTGTCATTCATTTTACTATTTGCTGCAGTATAAACAAATTTTATGTTGACATTTTATTGCTGATCGATTTTTTTTTTATCTTTCTTTAATAATGAGATCTCAACAATCATTAAAGTTCCCAAGTGTTTTTATACTTCTTCTGGAAGTTGATTCATCATAGTGGGTAACTATTCAAATTTAAAGATTCTTATGAATCCTAATCACTCGTATTTTCTATCTATAGATTTAAACTTTATCCTTCACGAGAGTTTTTATCATTGGAATCGATAGTTTTACCACACATCAAATGGACATTTAGCTAAAGAATAGTGGTAGATAGTCCTTCATGGACACATTATCAAATTCTGAGTTTTAACAGCCTTCCATATATGTACACATTCGGTCAGGTAAACATCTGGTCTTAAACATTATCTCTTGAACTTCAGGTTTATATTATAGAGGATCTGATGAGATAATGATCTTGTCCATTTTATTTTTGAATCGGTTGTTTTAACTTCTCCCCTTGATGTTGGGATTACTAACTTGCCAAAATGACGATTAACTAACCGAGCAGTTAATAATCTCCCTTTCGAGAGTAACTAACTCGTCAAACTAATATGATCAGTTTATCGAGTAGGCAATCCAACACCAATAATTACAAAAAATTAGAGATTCAGTATTCAAGATATATATCTAACCTCTTCTGGAAGCTCCATCTTTGTGTGCATTGTGGTGGAATGATTATAATATAAACTGCACATATAATATTTGAAGATGGATATGTATTGTTTCGACCAAAAATCAAACTTTGGGAGAATATTTATAACGACCTATTTGGTCTTATGCATATAATTGGTGCCTTTTATTTTTCAGCAATTTCTTGATTATACATGAGGTAATTAATTAAACACATGCAATAAACGATTCTACTGGAGCGCTTCATTGTTACTCTTATAGGCACTCAATCTTCAATTTCTATCATTCTGGTATTGAGTCATACACTCATCCTAATTGTCAAATCAAAATTCTCGTAAGAGCAGAACATGAAAATCTACAAGTTACCAATTTAACTTTATAATAAAATTTCTGCAAACTTCAAGTTGCAAGTTAACGAGAATCATACGATGGCTATTTCATCGACATATTGATTGATATTCTATTTTGTTGGAAGAAACTCTTGATTTTTCAAATTTAAAGCATATAAACTTTCTTGTCTCGTCTTGAAACTACAGTGGCTTAAGTAATTATGCCAATTTCTCTTCTGGAGAAAATAGTGAATTAATTATTCAAATATACCAGAACAATTTCGCTCCACATGCGCGTTTACTCTGACAGAGTATTTGTTATTCAATTATTTTCATTCTATCATAGTGTTCTTATTCTTTTAAAAGCAAAGTCTATCATTGCTCTGCTGAAGACAACAATGAATTTTTAAATTCAAAATAATTGTGTTGGTAGAGCAAATCATATCCTTCTTTGATACCTTGGAGAATATAATATATCTCAATGTACTTCCCATTGTAACATTCTCTTGCTCTTTTAGGAGCAAAGTTTGTTTGCTATTACTATTCCATAGGTAATGATGAATTCATTTTATTTACTCTTCAGGAGCATTTATTTATTTTCACTCTCCGAAGTAATTATACTTTACGGAAGTTTTCATCTATCTTTACAAAATAATTCAATGACATATGCTCTACTGGAGTATTTAATTGTTTCGTGTTTATCATTGACTAGTATCACCTTCAGGGCAATTAATAAAATCTACAATACCCAGAGAGATAATATGAGTTGCACTATGTGCCAGACATACTTCCACCATTAATAAATTTTGATCTTATTTTCTTCGAAACTTGTCGATAGAAATGTCAATTAAATAGTATCATTACTATGGTGGCTAAAAGACCACAACACCTTTAGGGTGTTTGACATATTGGACATTTTTATCTCTAAATTTTAAATCACCTTCAAGACGTTTGACAAAAATCGAATTATGATTTGTTAATTCAATGTCAACAGGACTAATGAATTCCTCTACTTTTAATAATATATTGAAGATATCAATAAGATAACTGTGAGTATACAGAACATGTAAATCCAATGGTTTTTTATGTTACAACAATAGTATTTGCAATATACTACTATGTTTCAACTTCAGATCGATAGTAGTGTTTTCACTATTTTTCCAACTTCAGGTGGTTAATAGTATATTTGTTATAATCACCACTATCAGTATTGCATGAGCGTCACATTTACTTCAGGAAATTTACAATGTCTTAAATTGAACATGTCTTCAAATTAATTCTCCAATTTCAGGTGAAGAATTGTATATATATAATTATTGTGAATTTAATGTGTACAATAGTACATTCATATCAATTTTATAAAATAATGTTTAATTTCAAGCCCGTCAAAGGAAATATACACTGGTAATATGACCTTGGTATCATGAATTAATCCAACAATACAACACAGGAACTGTTCTGCAAACAGATTGACGACGGCAACAAACAACAATCTACGGACAGCCGCAAAATCGAATTTCTGCTTCACACGGGGAATCAAAAACAAACACTATGGCACATTGGCACCCTTCTTTTCTCTGTCCAGCGAAGAAACCAAAGCAAGAAGAACACACGCACGGCCAGAACTGAACAATGTACCATGACACCGAACATGCACCTTTGTTCCTTTGTTTTTTCTAAATAAAAATCATAAATGGTGGCCAAAACACCACAAACAAACCAACCAAACAGACTGCTCTCTTTAAGATATATTCTCGGCCAAAAACAAACAACCACACACATTGCTCACTCAATTATTTTTACCAAACAAGCAGCTCACTTTTCCTTTTATTGCACTGCGAACAACAATGACAAAGGGTATTGCCTTTCCTGTTTCCTTTTTTTTTTTTATTGCACATATTAATATTAACTCTAATATATCAAATTTCAACTAGGAACAAAAATTAATCAAGTACGCAACATCGTGCCTTAAGTTGAATGATGTATGTATACGCTTAGCCAAAAAAAAATTGGGAATTAACAACAAAACCTTCTATCACCTAATCGAGACCAAAACAAATCAGGTAGTGTGACTTACGTGTTAGTACAATCACGAGTTGAGAAAATAAAACGATCTGTATCTCTAGACAGAGTTAAATTAATCACAAACACTAGTAAAATCCATCGGTGGACGACTTGAATCAAAATAATAATTATATATACTTTTATTCACAAATAAAATCATAGAGATGAGCAATCTAACCGAATTGAGTTGATCGATTAGAAGTAGACGTTGACACCGTTCATGCCTTCTTAAGAAAACTGGTTTGAGGGAACCGGTGGCCATTGACAGTATCAAACCTTAAAACTTTCTCAATCGTGCTGATAATATATTATAAAATAAATATAAACTAGAAAAAATAAATATGAGAGAGAGAAAGAGGATTCAAGTGCATCTTATTTAATAGGGACTGATCTCTATTTATAGGCAAGTAGATAATATAACTCTTCTATCTTATAGACATCCAAATTATTAATATATTTATAATATTTTTTAAATTTTTTAAAATATTATTTTGATTGGTTTTCACCCGTTTCGAAGAACGAGCTAACTGGTTGACCCGGTGAACCCACCAACCCGGTTACACTAACGGTTCACCTTCCGATCCGATTTTCAAAACATAAGTTATCACTAGCTAACCTTTTTTTAATGCGAGCTTATGTTTCAGCAGTTCTAAACACTTTTGGACTTCATAATTTCATCCTCACTGTCCCGAACCCTTCACCTTTAACCAAAATTCTTCCAAACCCTTTAATTATTCATTCTCGCATTCGAAGCAAATGGAAAGCGAATTTGATTGTGGGACGAAGGCATGGAAGCGAGAAAGAAATAACAAGGAGACAGATATATGTTTTTACAATAGTATATGAAGTTTTTTTTTTTTATCTCGTAGCCATCAAAGAAAGATAAGGCTTTCCAACCCAACTCGCTGGTATGCTTAAAGATAAAGCTTTCCAACCATACTTGCTGGTATGCTCTATGAGTTCAAGTCCATTTTTAACCAAAAAAGCATGAAGAAGATCTAAAAGAGGACTAGCGCGGATTAGAAACATCAAGAAGAAACCATGCAAATTAGTAAAAGAGATGGCAAAACAGGATTAAGCATGGTCGGACCTCCAAATATAAGTAACCATATTAGCTAATTTGGTTATCATTACCACATTCTTCACCTTATTAACAATGGCCTCTTTCTCAACCCGTAAAGCAAGCTCTAGCCTTTCCTCCATTGGGGATTCCTTCTTCAAATGCATCTGATAAACTTTGAGATCACCTCTTGATCCAGATATCAAGTATACGCAAAGCGAGGAGGTTGAGGTCGAGGTTGAGGTTGAGGTTTCGTCGTCTTTGTTTCTTCAACATAGAAATGATTGATGGATTTCAGGGATGAATTCATCCAAAAGAGAAGAAGGTTGCAAATAAGAAAAGGCATAACATTAAACTGATTGTTCGAGGAGAACCCTCTTTCTCTCCACATTCAAGGACTCTATATTTGCTGGAAGTTTATCCATCATCAGGTAAATGAATGATCTATACGTACTTTATAATATACTCCATAGTTAGTTTTGCATTACTTTCTCAGCTACTTGGCTTTCATCTCATATTGCAAATCACTTGCATTAAAAGAGTCCTATAATTGTTTTCCGAAAAAAAAAAAAAGAAGCATTCCATTGTTTTGGAACTCTTACCTTTTGACACTAAAAGCTCAAAAAGTAGTCTCCGTGATGGCCTAATAAATCAATCACTTTTCTTTTGCCCACAAAATTAAAGAAACTGAAACGAAAGGACTGGTAACTGGATTAACTATATATCCAATTATGCATTTGTGAAAAACACACCATAAATAGTCACTGGTCAGAGTAAAACTTGTTGTTTTTACACAGCAACTTTGGCAAGATCCATCACATCGATTCACACTAATGATGTCCAGTTGTCCACCCTCTTAACTTATAGGGGTAGTTACCACTTATCACCACACTATGCTTTAGTTGTGTCTTCGATCACCATTGATTGCCTCTGGAGTCTCTTCTTCATTAGCTTGTAGCTACAAATCATTGATGTTTTCACACCAATTGTGATATGGCCTAAATTCTCTTCAAGCCAGTACAAATTTTTACAGCTCTTTATTTTCACCATTCAAGGATAACTACTCCCTCCGGTAGTGAAATTGCCAAATGTTTTTATATATTCTTGTTTCAGAGAGGAACAGATTTACGATGCACTTAATTATTACATCCGTCCTAAAATTATTGTCCTGATTGCATTTTCAGTTTTAATACAATTTGAACTAAAACCGAAAATTCAAACTGGTCGATAATTTCGGGACGGAGGAGAGTTCTAAGAAATCTCTACTTGCATTGTCTGTCTCTAAATTCGGCAGAATAAACTATTCGAGCCAGAAGGCGAGTAAGCCGTTCAGCCCCCGGTTCTCCTCGCTTGATCTTCGTGGGATTTCCAACCTTGGAGCAGCAGGGCTTGCCGGCGCACCATCCACCAGGGGTGAAGGAACCGTTTCTCCGGCCAAGGAGTTCTGAATCGATCTTGTTGAGTACTATGTCATTATGCTTAAACTTACGAGCAAAGGGGAGATAACTCGCAGTCATGTTGGCCGTGTCATTAATGTGTAAGAACTCCGGATGCATTTTCGGGGGAGTATCCCAAGTGATGTAATGCATGTTTTGGTTCACAACCGTCTGGACAAATTCAGGGGAATTACAGATTGTTGTCTGGAAATACCATTCGTCGGCGCAATCGATATTTGAATAGTACATTAGGAGGGTTCTTGGAAGGTTATCCCATCCATATATCACGTACTCCGCAAATTCACGCGAAAGGATTGCATAAGCTGAACCTGAATTATACGTAAAACAGGGGACCAATTACTACAACTCATCACAGGTTATTACTTATTCCCCTGCATCAACATATAGATAAAATGTACCGAACAAAAAAAAATGTACCAAAAAAAAAAAAACACACACACACACACACACACAAACAGGGGAGCTTCTTCTTTTGTGTTGGGAGAAAATGCTAACAAAAGTACTCTCTCCGTCTCGAATTTTGTACTGAAACAGAAAATCAAAACTGGACAATAATTCTGGAACGGAGAGAGTAACCTTTTTTGGGTAACGAGGAAAGCACCTTTTGAGCGATATAGATTTACTAATGAAGATACAAGAGTAGGAAATTTTTTTAGGGAGGAAGGGACTTTAAAAGAAACCTCCGTGAATAGTGAGCTTTTTAATAGTTTCTTTCATTAATCAAATTTGACTACTAACAGAAACAAGGTATAGCATTAACCAAATGAAACTAGAGTCTCGTTCGAATCTGTTAAGAGCCTAAAATATTACCAACAGCCAGCAATCAAAGGAAGATAAAACTAATATTTTGGAGTCGGAAAAAGGGAAGATGAACTAACATATTGGAGTTTAAAAAAAAAAAAAAAAGACCCTATGAGGGAAACTAATTTTGTAACCAAGAGGAATTTGATGGAAACAACAGTGTACAGCATATAACAATGAAAATCAATGAAAGCCAGAATATATTTATGCTTAAAATGGGAGACCGAACTCACCCGTAAAAAGTTTAAAAGCAGTGGGCAAATCTCTCTTAGGTGACACCCCGAATATATGGGACTTTGTATTTTTGTGTAAGCCAGGGTCTATGATCAAAGGCATGGCCCTAGCAGCCCTGTAACAAAAAAATAAAAATAAAAAATAAAAATAAAAAATCAAACATATACAAAGAAGAGGCCAAAATTACATTGCACGCTGAAAAAAAGATCATTTCCACAGTGAAATGTGCGTAACTGAATTGATTGCAACAGGTTAATTAGATATAGATGGACATTAACATTATGTGATAAAAAAGTTACTAGATATTTAAATTAAGAAATTGGTTATATCATGACAACTAACTCATTAAGCCTATTTGTGTGTATCATAGTTTCATACTTTCAAATAATGTTACTATAAGTTTATTGTCATCGTAGACTATTTTTATTAAGACCCTATAAAGTGTCTTTTTATCTCTTTTTTCCTTGTAGCAATCAAAGACAAAGCTTACTCTTTCCAACCCAACTCGCTAGTATGCTCTATGAAGTTCAAGTCCCTCTTTAAACCAGAAAAGGCATGAAGAAGATCTGCAAGGGGACAAAAAGATTAGAAACATCAACCAAAAAATTTAAAATGCAAAAAAGAGATGGCAGAACAGGATAATATAATCTGACCATCTTGAGTCACTAATGGATAATCGGTAGCACTTAAGTTGATAAACCAATCCCAGTCCTTAAATCTCTTGAGGAGCAAGGCACAAGCGTGGAGTGTGTTGGACAGCATGGTAGGACCTCCATAAGTAACCATATTAGCTTTGGTTATCATTACCACATTCTTCACCTTACTAAAAATGGCATCTTTCTCAACCCGTGAAGCAAGCTCTAGCCTTTCCTCCATTGAGGATTCCTTCTCCAAATGCACGACGTAATAATTCCATGGATGATACACCGCTTGGAGAACTCTCCAGAGTTGATCTAGATCACCACTTGATCCAGATATCAAGTATGCAAAGCGAGGAGGTTGAGGTTGAGGTTGAGGTTTCGTCGTCTTTGTTTCTTCAACGTACAAACGTTTGATGGATTCCAGGGATGAATTCATCCAAAAAGAGAAGAAGATTGCAAATAAGAAAAGGCATATCATTAAACTGATTGTTCGAGGAGAAACCCTTTTCCTCTCCACATTCAAGGACTCCATATTTGCTGGAAGTTTATCCATCATCAGGTGAATGAATGATCTGCGTACTTTATCATATACATAGTTAATTTTGCATACTTCTTTCATCATATTGCAAATCACCTGCCATTAAAAGAGTCCTATATATTTCGATTGTTTTTGACACTAACAGCTAAAAAATAAAATAGTCTTGGTGATGGGCCTAATAGATCAATCAGTTTTCATTTGCCCAGAGACTTAAAGAAACTGAAACCAAAAGGACTTGTAACTGGATTAATAATTACTATATATCCAATTATGAATTGATGAAAAACACACCATAAATAGTGACTGGTCAGAGGAAAACTTGTTTTTAACACACAGAAAGTTTTCTTTGGCAAGCTCCGTCACATCGATTCCCAAATACTCCTTCCGTCCCATAATTATTGTCCAGTTTGAGTTTTCATTTTTAATTCAAATTGTACTAAAAGTGAAATCTCAAACTGGACAATAATTTTGGAACGGAGGGAGTAACGATGTCTTTTCCATCTTCTTAACTTATAGGGTTAGTTACCATTTACCACATTATTGCACGCTTTCTTTTATCACACTTCAGTTTAAAGGCCATTCTTCAATCAAGCATTGAAAACATTGTTTTCTATTAAAAAAATGATTTAAAAAAAAAGAGGTTCAAAAAGTTACATGTATAGACACTTATTTTCGTTCCACTATACATTGTTTTGATTTTGGCGTCTCATTTCTAATAAACTTCACTGGACTTTTTATTTAAGTCAATAGCCCCCCCCAAAAAAAAACAGTGAGTGAACTATCAAATTTTTGTAAACGTTACAACATTAAAAAGTTTAGGAAAACTATAGAGTTTAGATCCAAACTATTCAAGGGATTTTCCCCTAAAGTTTAGTCAAGCCATGAAAATTAGTCATCTTCATTAATTTTACAAATTCGCTGACAGTTGATTGCATTTTTCTTAAGTTGGCCATATTTTTTTATTATTGATAGTGGCAGGTTATATTTTTCCTGTTTCATCAAATCATTTTCTTATCCGAACTTTGGAGAAAAATCCCATCAGCTGAACATTTTAGGACTAACCTTTATAGCTTTCCCAATTCCCAAACCTTGAGAATAAAACATAAATTTTTTCAAAAAAAAAAAAATTCGCACATATTTAATAAACTATATATGTATAGGTATATATATTTTTTTCTTATAATAGACTATATGGCATTAAGTATAACATGATAGTATCATTATCCTATACTTAAAAGAGTATCATATCAATTTTTAACCCCCCAAAAAAGTATATTCTAGCTCATTTTTTCCTCGTCTTTTAGTTTTAGACCCTGTAAAAGGGTGACAAATTTTACTGAAAAAACAGAAAAAACAATCTAATGGTTCCCTTCGAATCATTTTTTTAGTATGTGTTTGTTCGATTGAAATTATAAAAAAATTTAAATTCAAAATGTAAAAAAGCACCAAACATAAACAAACCGAGGCGTTTCGCCAGTTATTTGTTTTCTCTCTAAAACAAATTAAAAATAGTTCGAATTACCTGGCTGAATTTGAGGACTCCGAAGGGGAAAACGAAAACTAAAAGAATATTGAGGACTTTAAAACACGTTTGGTTTTATTTAGGAGAAAATCCCCAAATTTGGCAAAAATGAAGGACGATAAGAAATGATTTCTCAAAAACACGCCAGTTCTGTTTTCCTCATCCGGTAACCTCCTGACTTCACCTCTCCTCTGCAGATTAAAAAAAAAAAAACAACTGATTCCTGAGAATCTCTCAGATTCTAGTTACCCGCCAACTGCTCTTAGCTCTTCCATATTGTATAAAATTAAGCGGAATTCGAAAGATGTCTTTCAGCCCTGTTGTTCATTTGAACCTTAACTGGTAATATTTCATCTCATCCTTCTGGGTTTTTTTGATTCTTATGATTTATTGATGGAATGTGTGATTCATTGAAGTGAAACACTAACAGCCCATTTGATAGCTGTATGATTAGAACGGGAAACAGAGGAAGGAATGGCTGGTTTTGTTGTATGAGGGGCACCGGACCTGGGAAGAAATCCTCTGCCTTTTCTTATAAGAAATTCATTGATTTCGCTTTGGAGGAAATCAAAGGGCACACCAGTTTGGTCCCTTCTCCTCTTCAGGTACTTCAATCATAGCATCTGCGTATTGTATTGATGCAATTTAGTTCTTTTATCCTATGATGCAAAAGGGTCTGTTAGTAGGTTGAAGGAAGCATTTTGGGAGCATTCGTTAATATTGGAAGAATGCAATACCTCTTTACCACTTTGTTTTTACTTTTTTTTTTAAACTTTTTTTTGAATGTTTCTTAAGTATAATCTCAATTCAATTGAATGATAGAAAATTAGTCTATATTGGGCATAAATTAGGTAGCCAGTCATCTGTAGCCATTTGGGGTTGATTGTGAAATTATTCTACGATGTGTAACAATATTATTTACTTTTCTTTGGGTGTAAACTGAAGTTTTGTAATTCATTTCGAGAGAGATATATTTCTGATGTGTAGTTAAGCTAGGAGTTGGGATTAATGCATTTGTTTTCTGACATTGATATATTTGCTGGAGCATACATCTTGCAAGATGAATACTTAGATGAAAGCAAGCTTTCTTTCTTGGTTCAAAAATTCACATGTAGACCAGGTTGCTTGGCTTCTTGTTATTGACAGCACATATGGCTGCTAAAAGCTTCAACTCTCTTATGTCCTTTATGTCCACTGAATAAACCCTGTGGTGACTAAGAAGGGAGAAGACTGCATAGACTTTATACTGCCGTGCATAAACTAGTGCATTATTTCTTGTCTCTGATTTTCGAGGCATTGACTGAGTAGGATCATTTGTTACATCCTTGTAGGAGAAGTTCAATTCTTTAAAGGGAAACGACGGGCGAAGTGAACTTGAAATGCTATCGTTTGAAGCTCCTAAAGTTAGACTGCTCCGTTGTTTGTCTATCGAGGGCGATGGCATGCAGGTTTGGTTATTAGTCTCTTCTCTACCATGGCTTACATTCGTATGCTTGTTATCCTTTATCCAATGATCTGACTTAAGGATGTTCATGGCAGGTTTTAGATCTTGCTGTATTTCCTAGACCGGAATTTGATCTCCCCATATTTTGTGCCAACTTCTTCACTGCTGCTAATACAAATATTGTTGTTCTGTAAGCTATCTTTCTCCAGTTAGACAAAGGCTGCACTTGTGTAATGATTTCAAATATGATGCTTTATCAACCATAGTTTTAGCATGTTCAATAGCAGATTACGCCTATAAGAGTTTATATAGGATTCCCTTTAGTTCTGTACATCTTTCTCCTTCATGCTTGCATGGCCTATCGTCTCAACTTTTTTTACTTCTTGAACTAATGAGAATGGCATGTGCTTCCAGCTTAAAATGCATTACATAATTATGCAGCATACTTCTAACTAATACCAAGTTCCATTAACTTCTATGCGATCCATGCATGGAAGAGACACCAAACAAAACATTTTGGTCGCCTTGCCATCAATTGCTGGTGTGTGCCATTACCTGGGAAACAATGTTGTTAATTGGCGTAGAGTGAGACATCAGATGTGGAATTTGTTTCTACTTACTAATGCCTGTGTGACTATTGCAGGGACCTGAACCCGTTGCATTGTGTCATAACAGGAAATGATTACAAGGAGAAATATTATCGCGACCTGATTCCTCTGGGTCTGAAGTATGCTGAGGTGAATTAAAAGTTGATTTGTTGTTCCTTGTGACTTGGAAAATTCTGAAGTAGTGTTCATACAACCATATAAAATTGTGGTATGCTGATTTAACACAGATTTCATGTAGCTTTTACCTTGGGGAGGAAAGCTAACAAGTGAATCTTTGAGGTTCTTCTCACCGATTGTGATATGGACCAAATTTTCTCCAAGCCAGAACAAATACAGCACTTTATTTGCAGCATTCAAGGACTACTATAAGGTAACTACAATATTGGTGTTCCTTTTGATGCGTGTTGAATCAATGTTCTCCCGGTAAGACAGTTATCTGGGTGGCTGTAACATTGGTTTTGTGTATGTGCTTCCCCTTCTCTGTTTCTTAGGAACTAACAATATAAATATTGAAGAAAATTGGCACCAGTAGTGTTTGAGCTTGGTATAAGTTCATTGGTTGTAAACTAAGACTTGAAATGTAAAGCAATAACTGAGATGATCCATGAAAGCCAGTGATGTTTACTCTCTTAGAATTTACTGTGTCCGAGGTACATAAATATAAATTCTGGACACCTGGATATAGTTCTTTCATGGTCAGTTACACAATTGTGATAAGGATGCTTCTTGATTTCATAGGCATGGCTCAAGTTGATCGACCAAGCAGCAGAAGAGACTGATGCTTCTCAAATTGTTCGCAATCGTGAAGCACAACACAAGTATCTGATGTGGAGAGCCGAAAAGGTAACAGACCTGTTGCATATCTATCATGATATATCTTGAAGATGTTTCTATTAAATAAAAGATGTTGCGTAACTTGTTCGCTTTTCAACTTTGATCCATGTAATAGACATAAAGATACCATTTAATGACCACCTCAAAAATATGCATATGAATGAGAGTATTTTAAGGGAAGAGAAGATGTCATGCCCTTCTCTCTTTTCCATAGAGTACTTTCAACTAATGTTGCTTATTGAATGCAGGACCCAGGACGTCAACTCTTGAGAAAATTGGTGGGGGAAGCTTTTGCAGAGGTATTGCTCTTGCTTTGCGCAGCGTAATTATTCACTGTTTATGAGCTCATTTTTTGCTTCTGCACTTTCTTACAATGTAGGAAATAGTAAGGAGCTTCCTCTTTAATGGAGTTCATGAGCTGGGGAACAAAACTTTTCTGGATTACTATCCTGAGTACAAAAGTGAAGATGGGTCGATAAACCAAAAGCGGAGTATAATTGGTAAATCATTTGAAGATCGTCCTTGGGATTCAGAAGGCAACTTTTTGATAACAGTTTTAGGTAGGGAGTGAATTGTTGGTCATTTGTGCAAGCATCTTAGGGAGTAAATCTTCGGCAAACAATTACATTAGACATGTCCTAACGTTTACGTTTGAACCCTTATGCAACCATTGCTGTGTTGTGTAGTTTAGATCTGTTGAACCTAATTCCTAGTATTAGTACTATCAAGTGTATCCTTTCCAGAATTAGTACATCTGGTTTTTTTCCCCCTGGTTGACTTCAATGGACAACATAACTACAAAGCAGCCACTCAGACTGTGTAGTGGCCATCAACACTTGTAGTTCGGTTAGAGCCTCAGAGGTCTTAGGTTAAAATTTCTTCATGGACAAGTATATCTCTGTAAATGGAATACGTATACTTGAAACTAAGCAGTCTTGATAAAAATGAAAGCATGGTCTTTTTATTGAAAGCTTCCATTTATTTGGCCAGTTCGAACTTCATTATATATGTCATTTGCTTAAAACATGACTTTAACATTTGTCAGCTTAGCAGCCTATCATCATCTGTTTGTTTCGGCTTCTGCAACTCTGTTTTGGGCACATACAATTGACACCTCGAAATCGTTCTTGAGCCCCAATGATTGATGTGTAGCCTGTAATATCTCTCTCAAAATCCGGGCAACCCGAATGCGCTTACTGGATTTTCTTCAGTCAGAATCTTGTGATGATTGTCTCTTGCCTTTTCTTCCCAAACAAAGTTGCCAGTGGCGGTCTCGAATTTGGGAGTTGATATTGTACCGAGTTCTATTTTTGGCTTTTTTGCTGGATTTTGGAGTTGTTTTGTTGGTTCTTAATTGTACTCCCTCCGTCCCAAAGTTATTGTCCACTTTAATATTTCACTTTTAGTACAATTTGAACTAAAACTGAGAATCCAAACTGGACAATAATTATGGGACAGAGGGAGTATATTTTAAATTGTTAGTGTTCATTGTTAGTTGTTACTATGCATCTTCGATGAATTCTAGTATTTCTTTCTAGAGGTTTCACGTATAATTCTTTGAGATTTGAGTCAGAAAAACCAAGATGAAGCTATACATTTTTAATCGACGGAAAAAATGTACTTTCCCAGCCAACTTCTTCTGAATTCATCCGGCTCCATCGATCTATCGTCAGGATCTGTATGTTCCTTTGTTTGACTTGCTGCCTACAACTTCATATAAAGAGATTCCCCAAAGAGATTTGGCAAGTGACCCAAGACAAATTAAAACTCTCTGTCCCAAAAAACATAGTTCAGAATAAATAGTACAACACTCAAAATACAATGTGTAATATATACATAGTTTTTGGTAATAGAAGGAATACCTAAGAATGAACTTCGCAGCGTATTATTTAGCACCATTCACTAGTAATTAAATTAATTTCTCCTGTGATCTGTAGCTTATTCACACCCCATTTCTTCCCTAATTGATAAGATTTCAAGCAATTTTTTATATACCTATCTTTAATTTTTTTTATTTTTTTTTGGCGGTTTCAAATCTTTTTTTGGCTGCTTTTTTTAGAATATTCGGCTTATCTAGGAGCCTCCGTTCTATAATTGGCTGTGTTGTCAACAACCCAAGTGCATGAATTCTTCTTCTTCTATAAAATTCTAGCTACCGCACCAATGGCCAACCAGTTCAATCAATCAAACTTCCAACTCATCTTTCTCTCTTTGATCAATTTTAACATATGGCAGCCATCAAGACAAGACAAATTATCTTCATGTTTTGCGTGGTTTCTGCAGCACTAATCTGTTGTCTTGAGGATGAAGTTGAGCCATCACCATCATCATCAAGTCACCCTAAGATTCTCAGCCAAAAGGGTCTCATAATTGGTGATGAATTCCTCAAAAATGGAGGAGGAGAAGAGACTGTTAAGAACAGCTTTAACAGGAGGCTGCTCCAAGTTGGAATTTGCCCGTATTGCTACCCAAGGGAATGCCCTTGTGAACCTCGTGATGACTGCACTGACTGCTGGACATATTGTGGTTGCTGAGAATTAGTGAATGAGAAAAAATTCAAACAACAAAATGTGCCCAATCAATTTTTTCTTTCATGTTTTTGCACCTAGTATATGTTCTTGTGTGCATGTTTATGCTTCATTGAATAACGAGTGTCTATCTGTAAAGGTGTGATTCGAATAATTTCACTCCAAACTAAAAATGTAACTGTTGGGAAATATATAATCTCACATCGGTACAGTGAAGGATCTGAGATATATTTATTATTATTATCTTTTTATATATACCGAGGAAGGTTTAAAGTATGGGACGTTACAAAACATCTCTGTGAGAAAACCTAGTTATTGAAATATAATTTATCTAAGACTAATATCGGGGTGTTGCTAAAACATATAATCCCGGGAGATTGAGTAACCTATTTTAACTAGTGAGTCCGCTACTTTGTTTTCCATTACGTCTAATGAGAAATCTCTGCGGTCCAATTTCGGTTGAGGTATATGTATTGATCACAAAATTGTCAATTATTATGGTACGAAAAGTCTTAGTGATCAATTTTTCAGAAAAAATCTGTAACTGTCATTATCAAAGTCTATAATCAAATAAATAATGACGAAATTATATCTTCACTTAGATACCCCCAGCAAGGGCCATAACCCCCATTGGACATATTCTCAAACACACCTACCGCTAAATATGGCGACAGCTGCATGTTGTTGCCATGTGCAAATTGGGGCGGCAAATGCATGTAGATTGATGATTGACGGAGTCGCTAGATTAAATGAAGAAACAGACTTCATTAATAAGAAATAAAAACAAAGAACTGTTTCTTAGTGTACATTCATTCATTTAAACATTGTGCTATTGTGTGATTGGAAAAAATTCATTTAAACATTTTTCAAAACAATAAAGAAAATAAAATCTCCGTTTAGAAATTAAGAAATATTAACCTTTGTTTCTAAGGGTTTGTTTCATAAAAATTAGTGCTTGCTTCTTAATAATTAATACTGAATTAAATATTCTGAATTTTTTAAGTAATTATATATAAAATAAGTAACACGCTATCTTTTTTTTTTTTTTTTGGTAAAAGCGCAAATTGCATTACTTCCTTCCTTTCAAAAACCATATACAGGCTACTTCTTCTATTAAAATATTTTACATCAAAATACCAATAGAGTTAAAGTATCTAATATCATCATAACTTTCGTTTCTACTATAAATTTGAAATTTCCAACATAGATCGCTTTAAGCAGTTCAAATCTGGTGGCTGGATCTTTGCATTTATTGCTAAATTTTCTATCGTTCCTCTCAGCCCATGCATGATAAATAACATCATTAATAGCAGCAAAAACAGTTTCTACCTCAACTTCTTACTTTTCCAATACCGCAGGAGGTTGCTATTTTCTTAAGAAGAACCAGGGTGATACCTGGTGGGCATCCCCTCGATTTTAGTATTTGAAAAAATAAGGTTACAAAGGCAATGTTTAAAACTTACCCAAATAAAGAGACCGTCGTACAAGGATTTCATAAAATCTCATGGTGGTTCTACTGTGAGTTACCAACTAAAACCTTTCTTACAAAGATTATACTATGAATCTTGACAGTTCTGGTTAACTCTAAGAATCTGTCTTACAATAATCCTATATAATCCATGAACAGATCTTTTTTAATAAAGAAATTAAAAAATTTGGTGCTTGTCTTACAAAGATTTTTCTTAAAAAATCCCTGACAGCTCGATTGTAACCTATTCCTATCTCATTTCTTGTATCTTATACGAAGGTATGGAAAAAACCTCTGTACTAACTTTAAAATACCACGAAGAAAAATTGGAAGTTGATGGTAGCTATTCAAAATTATTGTATGACATTGAGATGCTTGCTTGGATAGTCCATCTGCCAAACTGTTAACTTCTTTGAAGATATGTTGAAGTTGGAAGCCATTTCTCTGTAGGAATTTTTTAATTTCACGCAAATGAGAATAATGCTTCCAAGGGTAAGATTTACCATTTTGAAGAAGTTGGACTATAGCTTGATTGTCTGTTTGAACTAGAACCTTGTGGTAACCTTCAATTTCAGCTGCAAAACTATGACTTACTCCCATATACTTGCATTCAGCTCTGAGAAACTTTCCATGCTCACCCCGTATCACATATCCCTATCCGACATTTCCAGGAGCTCCCAATGCAGATCCATCCGAGTTCAAATTTACCTCTCCCGAGTTTGGGTGGCACCAAGTCAAAGATTGATTTGTCGCGTTCTTTGTTTGGTGATAGACACTCGAAAGTTCTCTTCTAGCTCTTTTGCCTCTATTTCATTATGAGCATAAAGATCATTAGCAAATAAAACATTAACAACATTTGATCTTACCTCTTTTATACTGTGGTCAAAAGGGAAAAGGAAAATTCCACTTTATGTACTCTAAGAATAGGGGATCTCCACTTTTTCCAAATTATGTACCCTATGTTTGAATTGGTCTCCACCTTATGTTTTCCTAAGGACTCTCCCCTGGTCTTTTGAAAAGAGCAAATTATACTTTAAATTTTATTAATTTTACAAAAACTTATCATTCAGTTAAATTTTAGCAAATTGCACCTTGATAACTTCTAGTTTTTAATAATATACATATTTTTTATATAAAAAAAAAAAATTGGGTGGCATCAATGAGAAACGAACCCTCAACATCTTGGTAATAACCATCTCTTATCCTGAATTTCCAATCACCCCTCCTAACCAATACAAAACCAATAAAAATCAGGACGCAGATGGTTAGAAATTTAAGATGGGAGATGTTTATTATCAGGATGTCGATGATTCATTTCTTACTGATGCCATCCAATTTTATTTATGTATTTTTATAAAAAAAAAATGTATATTAACAAAAACTAGAAGTCATCAAGGTGCAATTTGATAAAATTTGACTGAAAGAGAACTTTTTATAAAATTAATAAAATTTAAGATGTAATTTGCTCTTTTTCAAAAGACTAGGGGCATAAACATAACAAGTTGGGGCAAAATTTTGTTGAAATTCTCATTTTGTCCTTAAGAAAACATAATGGGGAGACCAATTCAAACATAGGGTATATAATTTGGAAAGAGCAATTCTAAGGGTACATAATGTGTAGACCCCCTATTCTTAAGGTACATAAACTGGAATTTTCTCCTAGAGAAATCCAAGCCTTCCATGGTACATCTGTTGTAGCACTTCTAAATCTCCCATAAGATTAAAATCGGGATAGTCGTGATTAGGACTTTTTTAGCCGATTGATAGTTGCCTACCAAAAACCACAATTGGAGATGCAAAATAGCTCCATACCTTTTGGACTTCAAGGCATTGCAAAAAATATGTGTTTGACGAAGCATGGATCTGCACCAATGTCTCCGGTTGGTTGAACCGGTGGCCATGGCAGAGTCAAAATCCTAAAACCTGCAAAAGAGGGCCTCGGGATCTCCCGAGGGTAGACACTCGGATGCTTAAGTCAGTAAGAGTAGTTGTAATAGGGTATGAATTGTGGTGCGTAGATCGTACCTTTAACCGTGAAGGGTTGATCCCTATTTATAGAGCTAGGTTATGGAACCCTTTCTTGGTAGAAAAGTAATTAAGAACCGACCTAGAAGCTTCTAGAGGCCGGTTGGACCTTCACCGAACTTGGACCGCCGTAGTTGAGGGCCGTACCAATTTGGACTCGTCAAGTGCCCCTTATCAAGCCTATACTTCGAAGTCTAAGGATAGGGTAGGCTTGATAACGTGAAGTATATAGTTTCCTCAAGTTCGGGAAAAACTGACTTGGATCGAGAACCTACGACAGGCTAGCATCGAGGATAGATTAAAGCAACAAAGGCATTAGCGCGTACCTTTCTCGATGTGCATGTCACTTATAATGATTGACATCGAAGTCTAGGGGAGATGAAGTCACTAGTCCAAACTTTTAATCGAGAAAGCATTATGTGATGGTCTTCACAATCTGCACCAGAGAAATATCAAGGCGAATGCCCTGTTCCTTGAGAGGATTATAGAAGAAGAAGTAGTGGAGATTCCCACTAATTTTAGATATAATAGTGTGTTGTCAATAAACAGCAGAATAAGAGATCTACTCGAAGATTATAATGCGCACTTCAGATCGAGAAGCATTAACTCCAAATCTCGAGAATAATGAATGAGAAGCGATATCAAATAATCTCGTGAATAGAGGTAAAAGATATGCCTAAATGGGGTTGAACACATGAGTCTCAAAGACTTCGAGAAGATAAGCTCGAGAAGGAGACTTCTGTCCATACTATGTTGAGTACCAAGAGAGAAGATGTAATAAGACTGTGATTATTGACATTTGTCGTCGAAGACATAAGTTCGAGAAGAAATATAAGCTGGAGCTGCATGCCAAGAAATTGACCCAAGATAATTTGTTGTCGAGAAGGAAACGTAGCGGAGATTCCCACTAGTCTCAAAATATGCGCCATTAGCAGCAGCGAAGATATATCCACTATCGAGATGAGAAGTCCATTGGAGAGCTGTGACATACGCTTCTGACTGAAAGGTAACAGATCCAAACCTTCAAGAAAAACCACTGTGTAGTGGATCAAGAAGTACCATGAATAAAGACAGAATATTCTATTGAGACTCGATGTCGAGGACATGAGTTTGAGAAGGAACACTTTCTGCCGAGAACTTACCCCAATGTGACATTCTATGAAGAAATCCAGAGATTTGAGAAGATTCTCTCGAGCAGAACTCCAGAAAGTACTCATGAGTTATAACCATCTGACCTTGAAGAAACCACACAAGCATTTAAGCTTATTTATATCCCCCCAACCGACCCGTTTGTCATTTCTCATGTCCCGAGAAATAAAGCATAGAACCCTTAGTCCGGGTTTGAGAAGTATAAATCAAGTTGATGTGTCAAACCCCAGTAGATGTATAATGTCGTTGCTTGAGATTCGAGCAAGAATCGAGGAGGTATTACGCATTAGTGTGAGAAGGAACGATGCCCCAGTCTGAGGACCATCGAGAATAGTCATAGAAAGAGATCCGTAGACCAATAATCATTGAAA